TCAAATCTCTGAGCCAATTAATAATATTAATGGGTGGACACTGACATAGCCACTTAACATTTAACCCAATTAATGATGTTTATTTGTTATTATCTGATATTCAATGATGATGTCATTTTGCATATAAAAAGGCCTGCGTGCCCACTTTTTAACTAGATGCTAATAAATTTCCTGAAGTGTTTTTAACCTGAACTGCATGTGTCAGTGTGAACTTACTTCTGCGTATACGCAATTTATTCATCTCAGATTTGGACAGGAACAGATAGACTTTTAAACATTTTTGTTTATTTCTAAATTAATCTTGTTCAATCTGGCGTCCATCCAACGTGGGGCATCGGGCTATGGCCTCCGCCGATAAGCCGTCCTAAGGAAGACGCTGTTGGACGGAGGAATCAGGGGGGAAGGAAGAGAGACTGATCACCTCTGAGTACACGGTAGAGACTTCTGCAGGAGCCACCGGTATGTTCCAGCCCCTTTGATTGACCCGTCCACGTGTCTGTGACTGCTTCCCGGGAGGGCATCAAAGACAGGTAATATCTTGCCCGGTGTCTTGTTACCCATTTGTTTACCTGCATTTAGTCTATCTGTTGCCTGGGTGTGCTAGTGGTATATGTTTTGTGTCTTTCCCTCTTTAGAGATAAAGGGGGGTGGACCCGTGGGTGGTTGCCTGGGGGTCTTCTGTTGCCTGTTTTTACCCCTTTTTAGGAGTCACTTGGCCCAGACTGTTGGGAAAAAAGGGGGGGTGGACCTGTGGGGATTTTCCAAAGGGGTCCTGTTTTCCTGTTTACTTCTTTTAGGTACTGTCTAGCTAACAGTAGTAAGGAAAAAGAAGGGTTGGGGGATTCTGTGGAGGGGACTTGCCTCCTGGGGTTTCCCGGTTACGTCACTTTGATATTCTAGCTAGCCTCATTGTGTACGTTGCTCTGCTTGCAGAGGTTATGGTACCCTCCAGCTTCGAGCGCTGAGGCTGGTGGCATTCCAATTTATTTGTGGTGTGTGGATTCGGGCAGGCATTGTTGTCTCCATCACCACGGGGTAGTGTGACTTGTGGGTGGGTCCATAGGGAGCACTACGGGAGTGAGGATAGAGGTGGCCACACTTAGTGGACTGCTGTAACGAGGGAGGCATATGGATTTCGGGCCGGTGTTAGTCGTTATCCTTGGCCGCTGGTAGTGAAACTTACGAAAGTTGTTCTCCGAGCGGGGACACTACGAGATTGAGGGAGGTGGTCTTGGTGGCCACAAGAGTAAAGGAAAGGGATTACTGTTGATGCATGCACTGTATTTCAATTGAAATGTTGTATTAAATGTTGTCTTAAGTGTGGAGTCATTCAAACTCCTGGGTCTGTCTCTACTTTCACTGTTTACTTTTCCTCTACTTCCTGTACTATTTACACTATCCACTCCTATTTCTCTTGAAAGAGAAGTGATTGGTCACACACTTCTCACCCCGCTCCAATCCGTGGTTACCATCGAGGGTACACGGATTCAGTGACTGGTCTACGTTTTGGGAAGACGCACTGGGAGGGACCCACCCTTCCTAGTGGCAGTCGAGCATTGTAGACGTTCTGTTTCATTTTCCTTTACCTATACTTTGTATAGGACGCTTTGTATAGGGGGATATGGGACAGGAAACGAGTAAGCCCGCTAGGGGCTGGCTCGCGTGTGATTTAGTTGAAGATAGAGAAGGTGAAGAACTGGTTAAAAATGTTGCAAAGATTGCTAAAGTGTGTAAAATTGCTGTGCCTTCATGTGGTAGATTACAGCCAGAAAGCTGGCGTAGATTACTGACAGAGAAGAAAGGCAAGCTTACAGATAATGATTTATTGCGTACTGCTGAAGCATGGTACAGAGTAGAAAGGCTATCCAGCAGGAGGGTTGGGTAGAGGAAGAGATAAATCATAAAGGGTTAAGAACTGTATGTATATCATAATAATTGTGTTACTGGGAAGTTATCCCAGCCAGTGCCCTGTCGGGGGTTCCAGGAGGTGACCACTTCCATCATCCTGTCAGTAATGACCGAAATGTAGCTGACCATGGTCACCATCCCACCCCAATCTTAAAACGCTGTGGGGTTTTTGTATTTTGTGTTAGCCATTACCCTGGTAGAGGGTGGGGGTTTAAATGAAATGTTGTGTTTTTGCTTTGTAATGTAATTGTCCTTCTGTCTTGTTACTGTACAGCGTTGACATGGTTAAATTCGTGCTGGCAGGCAGTCTCTCTCTTGTTCCACTCAAATCCCCCTCTGCTAAAACACCCCCCCCTCCCCTCGCTTCTGTGAGACGCGGGGGGGAGGGGGCGGAGGGGGGTGGTGACATGCTTGCGATTTAGGTCTGTCTCTTCGGTGTTCTGTAGAGTTATTCAGAAGCTACTGATAAGATTTTAGCAATGAATTTTTGCTAGAAAATATTCTAATTGTGTATTTTGTTATCTCAATAGAAATTGATAGGATGGTTAGGGAGTGAATCTGATGCAGGAATAGAAGTTATTAAGTTAGTATATGTTTCTAGAGACAGCTTTGTGGGCTGTTAGATGTATAATATTCACAACTGTCTTATTTAATCCGTCAAGTCTGTCCACAGTTCAGATTTTCATTTTGCCGAACAGAATGTTACTTCCCATGAAACCCACGCCTCCAGAGAGACTTAGTATGCCCTAAAGGAAAATGGCCCCTAGAACAAAAGAAGGTTGTCCTTAAGTGCCTTCACTCTGCCCTTAGTGAGGTCATATCTGCCCATATATCGTGTCAGTTCTGGCCATCCATGGCTGACGAGATCTTCACGTGTTAAGTAACAATATGTATTAACTTTGTGTACAAAAAAATTGATAACATGCTAAAAGAAATTTCTAATAAACAAAGATTTCTTGAACAAATGGTAATACAATTAAAGATTGGTCTCAAGATGTTTTGATCTAATTGAAAAGAACCAGAAAACATTATGAGCCTAACTACTAACAAATGGATAAGGGGGGAGGGTGTTCCAATCTGTCTTTATTAGATAATGTTAACCACCAAGATTAAAGACTGACTAACATATTTTTTTTTAATGTAAGCCCAGATATTTTATTATTATATATGCATAGAAGTCGAGACTTTGGGCATTATAGTGTATTGATTCTAGATCTGTTACTAGCAGCAAGTGCTTAGCCTTATGCCTATCCCACGCATGCTTAAACACTCCTTTACTGTGTTAACCTCTATCACTTCAGCTGGAAGGCTATTCCATGCATCCACTACCCTCTCAGTAATGTAATACTTCCTGATAGTATTTTTATTTAAACCTTTGTCCCTCTATTTTTGAGACTATGTCCTCTTGTTATGGTAGTTTTCCTTCTTTTAAATATAGACTCCACTTTAACTGTGTTGATTCCCTTTGTGTATTTAAATGCTTTTATCATATTTCCCCTGTCTCGTCTTTCCACTAGGCTATACATGATAAGATCCTTTAACCTTTCCTGGTAAGTTTTATCCTACAATCCATGAACCAGTTTAGCAGCCCTTCTTTGAACTTTCTCTAAGGTATCCATGTCCTTCTAAGGATATGGTCTCCAGTACTGTATACAGTACTCCAAGTGAGGTCTCACCAGTGTTCTGTACAATGGCATGAGCACTTCCCTCTTCCTACTGCTAATACCTCTCCCTATACAACCAAGCATTCTGCTAGCTTTTCCTGCTGCTCTATTACATTGTACATTGTCATTAACAGCCAGAAACTGGAAACCAGAAAGGATAAATTAATGTATAGCTAAATGTAAAGCTTAACAAAACCTCCATTATCTTTTTCATTTATCTCGCAGAAAAACAATGTTATTTGTCTATTTTGTAAGTTTTAATACATTATCAGTGAAGAGTAAAATAAGTTTTATCCCTTTTGCGAGACATAAAATTGCGATAATGTATATTTGTGATGTAAGTAAGAGTTATATTTTATAATAGGTTGAAAAAAAAAAAAAAGAGAGAGTCAGGGATAGCGTCTGTCTCTACGAGCAAAAGTCTGGTGTGGGAGATGTAGTGGACTAGCCACTGCGGGATACCCACGGAGTGAAGCGTTCGAGGCCTGTACAGACAGATGTGCTTGTTAGCCTTTTATTATTTTTCTCCAGGGAAAGCATAGGGCCAGTTAACAGTTGTTGTACATGTGCTATTTGCAGCCTCCATTGCATTTCTACTTAATTCTGATTTCTGATGTATCCTCCACTGCTACATACCCACGCCTCCATATGGAGACCTGTCTGCTCCCTTACCTGCCCACCCCTGCCTACTCCTACTCCTCCTCCTACTCCACCTTCTCCTCCTCCTACTCCTCCCTCTACTTCACCTTCCACTCCTCCTATTCCTCCCTCCCACTCCACCTTCTCCTCCTCCTCCTCCTCCCTCCTCCTCTTATTCAATCCTACTCCTCCTATTCCTCCTTCTACTCCACCTTCTCCTCCCTCTACTTCACCTTCTCCTCCTCCTACTCCTCCCTCTACTTCACCTTCTACTCCACCTTCTCCTCCCTCTACTCCACCTTCTCCTCCTCCTACTCCTCCCCCTACTCCACCTTCTCCTCCTTCTACTTCTCTCTCCTCCTCCTTCTCCTCCTCTTTCTCCTCTCCTCTACTCCACCTTCTCCTCCTCCTACTCCTCCCTCTACTTCACCTTCCACTCCTCCTATTCTCCCTCCTCCCACCTTCCCCTCCTCCCTCTCCACCTTCTCCTCCTCCTACTCCTCCCTCCTCCTCTTATTCAATCCACCTCACCTCCTATTCCTCCTTCTACTCCCTTCCTCCCTCTACTCCACCTTCTCTCCTCCTCCTACTCCTCCCTCTCCTCTTATTCAATCCTACTCCTCCTATTCCTCCTTCTACTCCACCTTCTCCTCCCTCTACTCCACCTTCTCCTCCTCCTACTCCTCCCTCTACTTCACCTTCTACTCCACCTTCTCCTCCCTCTACTCCACCTTCTCCTCCTCCTACTCCTCCTCCTACTCCACCTTCTCCTCCTTCTGCTTCTCTCTCCTCCTCCTTCTCCTCCTCTTTCTCCTCTCCTCTACTCCACCTTCTCCTCCTCCTACTCCTCCCTCTACTTCACCTTCCACTCCTCCTATTCCTCCCTCCCACTCCACCTTCCCCTCCTCCTACTCCACCTTCTCCTCCTCCTCCCTCCTCCCCTTATTCAATCCTACTCCTCCTATTCCTCCTTCTACTCCACCTTCTCCTCCCTCTACTCCACCTTCTCCTCCTCCTACTCCTCCCTCTACTTCACCTTCTACTCCTCCTACTCCTCCCTCCTACTCCACCTTCTCCTCCTCCTACTCCTCTCTCTACTCCACCTTGTCCCCTACCTGACAACATTATATTTTGAAGAAAAAAAGTTGCTCTGGCCCCTCTTCCGCCACTTCCCAGGGGGGAATACCACACTAACAAAAAAAAAAAAAAAAATTATTATTCAGACTGTTTTGGGCACTCTCAAGGAAATAGTGCGGTCCTGACCCAGATTCCCATGGAAATAAGACACCTGTATCATCACTGGGAGGTGGCTGCACCTCATGTTTTCTTCACTAAGTCCCCAGAAATCTCATAAAAGGAACCTGACTCAATAAAACATGAAACACTAAAAATCGATATCAGCTCTCTACAGAGGGGGGGCAGCAAGAGAACTGTAAATGGAAAGACAAATACCCTCAATCTCACACAGAAATAGGTGAGGATATCTCTTCTACTACTCCTCATGGTTGCTTTGAACAGATGAAAGAAGAAATAAGACACCTCTCAACAAGGCATGCAGTAGCTTTGCCAGATCCTGACTCCACTCTGTTTGCGGATGAAGAGGAAAGGTAACATACTGGATTTGCTGTTGCTACAGAAGATCAGGTACGTCAAGCATCTTTACTTTCCTCACCCACATCTGCTCAAGACACCAAATTGACAGCCTTCTCAGTGGCATGCAAATTGTTTGTTTCTGAAAGACAAGGCCATGCAACAGGAGTGCTCACTCAGGCCCATGGTCCTGGAGGCCACCAAGGGCCTATTGGATTTTTCTCCTGCCAACTGGATATTGTGGCCAGAGGACGTCCCTCTTGCCTTCGGGCCGTCTTTGCTGCCAGAGAGCTCATTGAAAGAACTGGAGATCTTGTCCTTGGCCACCCCCTGGTTGTCTTGGCCCCCATGACATTTCTGCCATAGTCAACCAGGTCCAACTTAAGCATGTTACTCCTGCTAGGCATCTTCGCCTTCAATGTCATCTTTTGTTGCCTGACAACATTACCCTCCAAAGATGTCAAGTTCTCAATCCGTCCACTCTTCTGCCAC